GGAAAAATTTCCAGCCGGAACATCATAGAGACCAAACAATTTTAAACCCATTTCTTTAAGTGCATTAGATGGATCATCATTACTGCTACCGAGCGGCATGACCTAGAAGTTTAGACCATTGCATGGCATTCGGGAGGACGTCGGTTCGATTCCAGGTCCGTCTGCCTTGGTCCAAGTTTTTCTGTGGTTTCCTTGGATCACTTAGGCAAATGCTGGGGCAGTAATATTCCACAGATAATCATTCATTCTCTTATGTCTTCATTTCGTCCGTCTCATCTTTCTCACCCGAACCACCACCCACCCATTCCCACGATTTCTGAAAGCAGGCTGAAGAGGGCCTTCCGCCCTACCTTTCGGCGTAGTCCGGAGGGACTGCCCGCCCACCAGGTGGGACTGTAACACCCAAAAGAAAGAAAAAACATTACATCCTTACAGTACCCCAAAATTGGTAAAAATAAGCAGGCATTTCAACGAGAATTTTAATTATTGCTATTATTACATCTTACCTGTACTACCACACAAAACACTATTTTAAACAAATGAATTTATATAATATTAATTGCAATTATTTATTAAAACTGTCACAGATTAATAAAGAACAATGCATTATCCTGAGCGTGAGCACATCTTTCCAGTCTTAATATCCTGAATGGTTTTGTTATCGATGGTGGTAAAATTTTAACCAAAGCGACTAAGATTAAGTGAGACGGAAGACACATTCCATTCCTTAATTAAACCTTTTAATATTTAGTTAATTTCAGAAGGTCGACCAATCCTAATATCTCATAATATTTTTCTTTTGATTAGATTTTTTTTAACATTAAACAAGTTAACAACATAACACGTATTAAAAAAATTACTAAACATATTCATAAAACGAATACTACCGTGCCTTTTCGCAACCGATGCGTCCATGATTATAAAATCAAATTGGTCGACTATTATGAGCCCACCAATCTAACGGCACTCTTTATAATAAATGCGTAGGTATCTGAAACGCAAATGTAACTATGTAAGAAGCAAATTAATCAGCTTCTGCATAATAAATAGACTTTTCTGTTAAATGTCAACCGCATGTAGCTAACTAAAACTGGTCGATTCCATAATTAAGCCTCTTTACTTTAGCAGCTGCGAAGTGGGAATTTATTAATATCTAATGTCTGTACTTTCTTCAATTTGATGCAAGCTGACCTGAAAAATAACATGAAGAATTAGTTTACAGGAACGTATTTAAAGATATAACCTTCAGATTTTTTCTGCGTGTGGAAGTTAATAACAAAGCATAAAATTTGTTTGTAGATATTAAGAACAGTGATTTTTGGAAATGGCTTACAATTATTCGGTAGAATGCTGCTACAGAGCCTGCAGATTTACCAAAGAAATAATAAAAAGTTCAAAATCTGTGATTTATCTGCTCTAACCACTACAAGTGATGTTGATAACTTATTGCAAGTAACAGTACATAAGAAAATAAACAAATAGAAATAGAGTTCCTAAATCACACAGTATTTTTTGTCTTTGCTTAGACGACCTGCTTAGTAAAAGCCCTATTTTGAATCGGAAATCAAGTTGTAAGACGTTTAGGATGATATGTACCTTTAAATGTGATAGAGATGGGCCTTATTGCTTCATAACCCGAGATAAAAATGTTCAGTCTCTCAGAGTCTCTGAAAACGAGTCTCGAGTCTCCGTCTCTCATCGAGTCTCTTTGGTGTCGTTGAGAGAGACTGAAGAGACTTAAAAAAAACTGTTTAGCGTCTTTGAACGAGAGATTCGAGTCGCTCATAGAGAGATCCTCATTTCGTATCCAATCTCTGAACGAGAGGCTCGAATCTCTGAACGAGAGACTCGAATCTATCAATAAGTTGTGTCTCGATAGACATGGTTAAAATTTTCTAAGTTCAACATATTTCAGAGATCCCAGTCTTTCTACGAGAGATTCGAGTCTCTCAATTTTTCAGTTTTATTCATTCAGTATCTCTGTGAGAGACTCGAATCTCTGAATAAACAATTTTAACGTTCGAGTCTCTCTTACAAAGACTGTGAGAGATCCATAAAAACACCTAGGCAATAACTGAGAAACTGTGAGAAACGCTCTCAGAGACGCTGAAAGACTCAGAGAGACTGGAGAGAGACTGAAAATTTTTGTCTAGGGAATGTACATTTAGAAAGCATTGATTTGACTGTTATTCTATCGATTCTATCCACGGGCCTCGTTATAGAACTATTGATGGAGATGGAGCTTCACAAAAAATGCATATAGTGACGATCAATGGAGAACAAAATATTTTTTTCAAAAATAAGCATATAACTTTATGGCGCCTCATGGTAGTGGACAAAAACTGTATGCTATAGCTAGGGAGTGGCAAACTGAGAGAAAAAAAGTACGTTCAGTACGTATAAAGCAGTTTACGCTTTCAAATTGTGCAGACATTATAAATATTTAGTTGAATGGTCTTCTCAGCCATTACATTTACAAATTAGGAAAAATGTTCACCCAACATAGAAATTACGTGCACATATCTTTGTGGTCATATATTACCATTATAGGTATTATTTATCGAAAAAATGACTGAATGTAAGTATTTGTAGGTAAACCACATTGTATGTTTTAAGAAATGGCATCATTTGATGATTGTATGCACTAGAATATCACTTCTCAACTTGCCACTAGTGTATAATATTAATTTTTTACAAAATTTACAAAACAAATACTTTAATTTCTGATCAGATAGGAAGCCATATTTTGTTTTGCAGCCCCGGGCCTTATGAAGGCTTAATCCGCCATTGTAGCTGGACCTTTGAAAATAATGCAACGTCTAAAATATCAGCAACTATCCAAAATTGTGTGACTTTCCCCGAATAGTGTGTTTTTTGTTTGTGTGAAATGTGTACATTAAAGAATCAGTAACATATAGCAACCGGAAGCAGATAATTTCTATCGGGGTAACATTCGCATTTTGATGAAACTAAAATTCTCTTCCAACTACTAAAACTCTAAAAGGATAACCAAATTCAGAATTTTAGTATATTTCCGAGATTTGAGGTTTTCTTGAATTATATTTTTGCATTGTTAATTGTATTGATCTATGCTTTCCAATCAATTCGATCATTAATTCATTTTTTTAGCACAATGAATTGCCCAATGATTGTGTTGTGACAGAAAATTCAGAAAGCCTACCGATGTTCGACGTATGTTTATACGAATTCTTGCCGACTCCGTCTGTAAGAGATAAACGTTGGCTAGTAATAAAATAAATACATTTTTTCTTGGAATAAATGCGTTTTTTCATTGACTGTCCGAAATAACTATCGACATAAACAACATGTAATAGTTCGACTTATAACGAAATTTAGGTTACGGAAGATTTGAAGAATTTCAATAATAACTATCGTCTAAAGTTTAATCTGTAAGTGTTGTAATTATACAAAGAAAAATGAATAAATATTACAGGTTCCATTTTAACTTCCGGTCGATTTAATAAGCATTAATTTTTATAATTTTCTAGTATCAAATTCTAGGTCGAAATATCCTGTAAACAACTCATAGTAGATAAGTATTAACAATTTCACGATCGTGTTCTGTCTCCACAGTGTGAAAGATATACTTTGGCTTCGAATATTTTCATTTTAAACGTTCACAGTTTTTTGTCGGATCATACAAAGTATAGATATTAGAAGTTTAATATTCAAAATACACAATTTACTTGCCTAATAGACGGCGAATTCAAAGATATGACAACTTTTTCCCACCCTAGTAGTTACTACCCCGTCCATATAGCAAACCTCTCATCGGATAATTACTCTATTTTGTTTTTGGGATGATAATGTTATGTCAGTTAAAACATGTTTGCTGTAATATATGTGCTTTTGTAGCATTTATTATTTCACATAAATCCACGCAATTACTCCAATTAGTTTTTAACAAAGTTGACCTTATAACTTTGAGTACTCATAACGTATTTTTTTTGAAGTACCGATCTGAGTAAGGCCGCCTGTAGGGCTGGAGAACAGATAGATAGCCCTGTAGTTTACATTCAGGAATCATGAGGATGGGTGGGTTGTAGCTGGATGAGAAGGATTCCTATATGATTCAAAGAAATCATAGAAAAAGTTGAATCTGAAATCGAACTGATGTCTTCTAAAATACCAGAAGATATGATGTAGACCTTTATTTCCAAATCTTTTAGAGCTACAGAACTCTTAGCAATTTACTTTTATTTTATGGAATTCTACAAATGATTACAAATAAGAGATACTGCGCCTGTACACCCACAAAAGGGTGTTTGATGCGCAATCTATGAAATCTAGGAATTGTGCACAATCCTGGGAAATGTATACGCTTCCTAGGAATTGCATGAAATTTCGATATTGTACTAGAAAATGCATAAAACTAATGCTTTCTATGAATAAAATGAATAAAACACGTTAGTAAACTGAGAATCAAATTTATCTGTGTAAACGCGGTTCTAGTGCGATCGCCTGATGTATGTTGGTGACGTTATTGTTTGGTTAGGTTAGGTTTGGAGATATATTAATTAATGACGTTATATTATGGTTATTAGGTAGATTTATGACATAGTGGAGTTTCTTTAATGTCCCTGCCTGACGGAGACAAGCTAATATGTTGGAATAATGTCTTCGAAAAGTATACTTCATTATGATCTCCGCACCCAATATGTATATATGAAAATGATCAGCATTATCACCTCTGGTACATACTAAATTCAAGGTTTTCGAGTTTGCTGAAACAAAGATAACCTCGTCACATTATTCTAACATCTAACATATCAGCCCGCCCTCAGTGGGCAGGGGCATTAAGGAAACTCCAGTCTGTCATAAATGTCCCTAACCAAACAATGACGTCACCAAAAGATAAAGGTACATCTCCAAACAGCCAGACGTTTTATTGCCTGTATAGTATTACTTGTAATACATTTGCGATTGCTATTTAGGAAATGTATAGATATCCTAGGAAATGTTTTCACACATTTCCGGGCGATTTTAGGAATTATATACAACGACGGATTTCATACATTTCCGCTATTTGATAAAGTACTTATGAGCGTATATGATTAAATTACTGACCAAGAGGATAATGTTCTTTATAAACAAAAGCCCTTTTCGTTCTTAAATATACACCTAGAAGCAGGCACGCGTTTCCGTAATCCGCTAGTACCAGTCACCGCCGATTTTTTTAACAGCTTTGTAGATAGTGTTCTGTAACGTGGGTTTACCAACAAATTATGGCGCCAAGCTCAGTCTAGCCTACTTGTCATTTAAAAATTCGTTTGCTTTATCAATATAAGCGTTCTATTTTAGAAGAATAAACGACACGCCGTTGTTGTTTGGAAGTCGACTCATTCGCAGTTAATAAATCAACATTGTTTTTGATTTATTAAGTTGTCAATGCAATCTCGTCGATCTCACTTTACAGTAGGCTGCATCGCCATGTATTACATAGAAACTGGTTGCGTTCGTCTGTCTGTCGCAGGACCGATCTGGTGTCTCTCTTTCCACTCGATTGATTGATAAGATAATAACTTTAATTACTAATATTTATGATTTTGAAGAATCTGTGACGGATGGTGTGCTGTCTTCTTTTGTCAATTATTATTAAACTGTTCATAAATTAAATTGGAAGCCGTTAGACATTATTATACAAAAAATTAAGAGATCATACCTACATCGTAATTGTACCTGCTTAATCATCATCATAGGGTCGACAGTCCAAGATAATACTGATTGCACTGACACCTATCCTTATTCCGAAAACTACAACATCCCACATCCTTATCTATTAGCTAACAGTAATGTGATCTTCTTTAGTCCTTCTTCTGCTTCCAACATGTCTCTAAGTAGCCCATCACTTGTCTACATCAAATTGAAACAGAGAAATGTCAATTGAACAATAAGCTAGGTTCGGTTAAGCTTAAAATGAAAACGGAAGAGAACCGTTATGGTGATTACATTTTTAATCTGTAATTACGGGGAAATTTTTCAGTCAATAGAAACTCCTAGAAACTAAAGTGCAACGCGATTCATTAGTTATCAAACTCAAATTAGAGGCACAGCTGTAAAAGTAATAGAAGTAGAAGTGCATAAAAACTATTTATTCAAAGCTGATAATGGATCGGCTTTTGCAGAGAGAGAGTGAAACTCCTCATCATCATCATAAGGTCGTCAGTCCTAAGAATGGTTGGACACGCACCTACACTCTTTCCTATCCTGAGCTAATCTTCGCATTTCCCTAAAACTAGAACAACCCACCTCCTTAACTATTTGCGAAGAGTAATCTAATCTAGGTCTACCTCTACCCCTCCTAACTCCTGTTTCTGCCTCTAATATGTCTCTGACTAGACCTTCATGCCTAATAAGGTGTCCTACCAACCTATCTCGCCTATTTCTTATTAACATCCATAGAGTCCTCTGCTCTTTTACTTCTACGGTGAGTTTTACTTGGAATAGCAAAATGTGGTGGTCTCCCGTTGCCTTCCACATCGCAGTATTGTCTATTAAAGTGGCATACCGATCCTCGTGATCTCTGTCACCCTGAGTACTGAAAGGGCTGCTGCCCTCTTTCAGGGACTTGTCTTAGTCTGGTTTTTCTTTAAGAAACCCCCCCCCCCTCCATTATAGTTGAACCTATGGTCTGGCTCTCTAAAATCATCGAAACTCGCAAGCTGATTCAGCCACTTTAGTTTCTACAAGAGTTTCGTCAAGATTCAGGTCCCATCGGATCGGTGATAACTCTTAAGAAAAATAAATTTCATTACCATGAACCATGGTTTTGTAACTGCATAGATATATAAGTAAACGTTGAAAGTAAGTACCATGAGATACAAAATGGCAACACCTGGTATATGATTTCTGAAAACGCCCTCTGTCTGCATCTTTTACATTTTCGATCTTATATTACGAATACACTTAGGTGAAAAGGTTTTGACTCAAGAATCCGCTGCTCTTTTGCATGATTAATTGTAATTGATTATTGCGATCATTAATCATGGTTGGCGGCTATTAGATACAAATCACATCAAAGGTAGGTAGCGCCAAGTTTTTCTGTCATTAACTTCAATAGGACAACTTGTGGAACGTTATTTTATATCTGTTAATGTTTTGTAGACAACATTCTTGCGATCTTGCGTCATTTTTCTTCGTACACTGTTCGGCCTAATGTCTGTTAGTCGAACGGGCAACTTCCTAAAGGAACACAAAGAACAACTTTTTCGGATGAAAAGATAAGTAATAAAGTAATTAGTGCGGCGCCTTTGTACTTCTTCGAAAATTACGTCGTCTACTTTGACACCAATTACTGTAGCACTAATGATAGGACATTTGTGCCAAAAATCAACGAAAGAAAATTTATTGATATAAAACAAGCGGATTGATGATCAATTTTTCAAGTGGAAACAGTAGAAGCAGTGGGCAAAGTATATTGGAAAGGCTCATTCTCAGGCACGAAGCTGAAACAGGAGTTAAAAGCAATGCCAAACCTGGATTAGATTAGTGGTCATAGAGAATAGCTTACCAGAAAAAAATAGGAAGATGCATGTGTTAGATAACATTTTTTACTCACAAAGATACTTACACATACAAAATACTAGGTTTTACCCGCGGGTTCGCTCGAGCTGATGTCCTAAATACATGTCAAAGATCATTGACGTCCTTACAAAACTGATTCTTTCTGTACCTCAGGGACAGTATTTGTTCTAGATAAAAGGCGCCCTATGTTCTTTTCTGTACCACGGATAATGTGTGTAAAAAATTTCATTGCTTCGCTCGCGTTGATGTCCTGAATACGTGTCAAAGATCATCGACCACCATATAAAAGTGATTTTTCTATCCCTTGGGAACAGTATTTCTTAGGATTTATAATACCTAATAGCTTTAGCAGCCATTAATTCATGTCCAAAAAGGTGTCCTACAAACTTATCTTACTTATTTCTTATCGACATTCATAGTACTCCTTGCTCTCCTATTTTTTAAATATCTCCTTCTTTTGAACAGAAAGTACAATTGGGTTAGGTTAGGTTAGGTTGGCTTGCCAGTCATGAGCTTTGGGACAAAGTTGAATTACAACTCTGGGCCAGATACGGTTGAACTACCGAATGATAGCATCGAGTCTGAGTTAACATACAACTTTGGACCGACGATGAATCCCAAAGATGTGCCAGAGTTGGTCAAGCAAACCTTTCGCCAAAATTAAAATCAGTGGTGGCCCAGGGGATCAAATTTATTAATAAACTGTATATAAATAATTATTTTAAATAACCAACACTTATTTGACGTTGGAATTATAAGAATAATTGTTTATTATGAATTATAAAATAACGAATACAAATAATTTCATAAATATTTCATCTTTACTTCCCTGCTGGCCGCTTAAATCGTCTACTGTCACGATCTGGAGCTTCAGAGAGATTAACAGATAGATTCTCATTAATTATTATCAATGATAATATTTATTAATCATTTTTCAATCCAGGGCCAAAGTTCACCCGATCGTCAACTCTGTCAATATCTACATGGGTAACTTTTCCTTTTTCGTGGTCCACGTTTCGCACTCATACACAGTCGTTCTCTAAACACATTTTTTATAATCGACCTCCAATATAAAAGTTAATTTTTTTTGGAAAAATCTACCTGACTCTGCGCTATTCTTTTAGATGTAAAGTATCTCCCATTAAACTTCTCCACAAAAGGAATAGTTTAGTGTATAAATATATTCACTGCTTTCCTTGATTCACTCATAGACCATATTTAACAAATTCAAAGAAGTTAAAGCCGCCTATGATGTACCCATGTATAATACGTCAGTTGACTCGCAGTACATTCATATTTTACGGTTGTTTGTCGAGTTTGTTAACGGATCTTGTAAACGGTGGTCAGAAATTAATTTGTGACTTTCTTATCCACCGACAAAATAAACAAACGGCCCCGAATGCACCCATGGACAGACATAACCGCTCGAACAAGACGATAAATATTACAAGTGTCGCGGCTCCTCTTTCTTCACGTTCATTAGCCGACACATTTATGGGGTGCACAAAAATTTGCAAACCGCAACAATTAATATACGTGTACCGATGTGCATGAGCCACTTTGTTACAAATTGTTATCATTAGTCTATGAGAGTAAACAGTTACTGATTCTATTTTTAGGATTCCATAGCCTGATGACTAAAACGGAAATAGATTTAAGCTATGATTTGTTAATACTTCTAGTTTTTAAAGAAGGATTATAATATGTACGAAAATATTTTCACGATAGTACCATTATGGGTTTGAGTTTCAAAAACCGATTTTCTCTGAGTGTTTTCAGATTTTATTGGAAAACAGTTCATTCTGCTCAAAAACAAATAACCTAACAAGATTATTGGCGATTTAACCCTGAAAGGGTAGAAGAGAGCAATTTTTCTTTTTGAAGGTTAGATTATGGTTTGGAAATATTTCCCTGAATTGATGTCTTCTACAATGCAAGGTTACGTCCCTAATAATTTTGTGCATTCCGGATAGTTTTCTAAGAAATACCGACTGATGGTAATAGTTTGTCGGATCTAGAAGGGGTTCTTGTTTGCTCCTCAATTTAAATTTCAAATCAGGGCTATCCCATCCATAGCCTACCCTTCAAGCGGACACATCTTCATAGAAAAGGAAATAATAACATAAAGTTGAGATGAGATTTTCTGAATTTTCAGCTAATCATCAGTAAAGAACTATGTAGACTAATAAATAAGATATGTTATTTTTCTTTTGCGACGTTTCGTCTTCTTGGTTTGCCAGAGGCAAATCTTGATTATTGACACTCGTTAATACTGATACCCAATGACGAGTGTTTTAACAATTAACTTTTGCCTGAAGAGATTGGCAAAATAACTCAATGAATGAAGCATCGCAGAATAAAAATTTACCAAAATCTTATTTTACCTTATTCTCCATTGATCAGCAAATATTATGTTGAACACTAACAATAGATCATTGAAATAATTATTTCAACCCCTTTCAGATTGATTAGCCAAAAATCTTTTCAGATTCCGTATTATTGAGCAAAATGAAATGTTTTTGCAAAATTCGAAGAAAACCAAAAGACTTCGAGTTTTAGAACTTCCCATAAAAAATTGGAGGGAATGTTGAACGGGAATTGTTTTTCTGACGAAACAGTATGTATATGTGGTACATATTTTTTCCATTGGCAAGAAGACTTCACGCGCATTCCACCTACTCTACAAGCGCTTTCGCAGCTTCGGCTTTGTTTAAAATTGCTCGGGGCTGGGGTGATTGATGGTTCGCGTTCATTTGGAGTAGTAGTCGACTCGCTGGGTTACGATCGGTCGTTTGACATTGTCCCGGATCACTCGATGTGCACATAATACGCACAACCAGAAAGCGAACGTGCAGTACACAGAAAATGTGCATGCAGTTGTAACCTTTCAATATAGCGTCAATCGTCATTAATTATAACCGTTTTACTGGGACACGGTACGTACCACCACTCACAATTTGAAACGAGATTAGCGTTGGTCAATACGTTGGTCAAGCAGAAAGTTAAGGTGACGGAATTTAAGATTTATGACTTCTTCAGTAATTATTATTAGTACCTGCGAAGAAGGTATAGATATACATATAATGAATTATTGTGAATAATTATGAGTAACGCAAGGCAAGACTGCTCTTGGTCTTGCTGATATGGTCTTGGTATTGGTCTTAATCTTGGTCTTGCTCATTGAGTCTTCTAAGCACAAATTTTTATATTCTCTGGCACCGGAAGCTATAATTTTTCATCGACTTTCGTATTTGGTCTTGGTTTTACATATTCGGTCTTGGTCTTGAGTTTGATCTTGGCTTTAGTCTTGGTAGTATAAGACGAAGACC